TGTCAGCTGCTCTAGTACACAGTTCCAACCTTTGTGCAGTCCATGACTCATAGTAGTTGCTGAAAACAACTCTTTTCATATAGTAAACACATTTATCAAGCTGTGAACTACAGCTCGCAACCATACAACAGGTGGTGCGAGCCATAAAGTGGTGCTCCCAGTTAGGAATGAGTTAATAACATGTTAAAGTTTCATACAAGTTTCCTGTGAGAAAACTGCCAGGCTAAAAATGAACATTCCATCAGCTATTTAGGCCTATCACCAAAATAGATTAACAAAACGTACCAGTGCTGAGTGAGTTCTTTCTTTTAATGAGTGTTTGAATACTGTAGTCGGCTAACAATAGGGCAATACTGTTAATAACTGCAACTTTTCAAAAATGGAAATATCCTTTGTGATGTTTGAACAATAAATGCTTAAAGATAACCTCTGTGAGGTGGGGAGTTCCCCTTTAATACCTTTACAATTTTAGATAAGTTCCAAGTATAACTTTTTGAGGATTTCAGTAACCATATGACTGCTGTTATTTGTCCACATGATGGAATCTTTTTGGTTCCTTGGTGCTTTCTGCATTTCCAAAACAAACGAAAAGCTGTACTTAATGTAAATACAGCTCAAATTTCCATTGCAGCATTCTTGAATATGCTCATGTTCGAGTGTGTTGTAGAATAATGATGTGCTTTTAGTGTCCTAGCTCCCGTTTTGGATTTCTTTGCGATGTAGATGTTTGAATGTTACTTTTGTCAGGGACCAGATATGTTCTTGTACCAACCATTGAATGCAGAAAATGGTTTTCTTTTTCTTAAACATTAAAGCACAGTAGCCACTTTCAGGTGAATCTTTCAGTCCTATATATTATTATATAATATATATGATGTATGATATAATTATTAGTCAATGATATGGAGTTCTTTTCATCTTTGTGAATTGAAAGCACAGGCTGTTGGTGTAGCCACAAAGTGAATTGTAGGTCTATTACTTATACTCCCCCCCCCCCCCCCCTTTTATATGAAAGTCATCTATGCAAATTTGTATGTACCTTGTTATGATTTTCAAGTAAACAGATATATAGGATAGTCATGCTTTGTGAACTTACTGATTATTTACATCAGAATAGATCAATTACTGAAGAGACAGAGATTTTGTTGTCAAAGACTAATCTTTCTGTTCTGTTTTTCTTTTCCAGGCTGAAGAAATGAGGGACATCGTGGAGATGTCTTCCAAGATGGAGGACCGTTATCGTCATCTTTTCGACAGTGTCATCATCAACGACGACTTAGAGACGGCAGCAACAGAGCTTTTGGGACTAGCAGCTCGCTTGGAGAGAGAGCCTCAGTGGGTGCCGGTAGGCTGGGCCTACAGCTAGTGCACTCACACCTGCACAAGCATGTCCCAGGTACCTTTATTTGTTTCTTTTTTTTTAAAGGTTCCTCATTAGTATGCATCTGAGGAAGATCAAATTTCATGACCGTCATCTGTGACGTAGCAGGTAGGTATTTGGCTGTCACACCCAGATGACCGAAGTTCAATTTTGGCATGGGGAGAATTTTTACTGATTTATTGAGCATCTCAGTCTTTCTGCTGATATGTTGTAAATTCTCAGTTTGGGATAGCCATGACATGCAGAGTCAGAAACCCACCTCCTAAATGATCAAATTTGTGTCGATAAGGGCATGCAAAATTTCATGTTACAAAAGGCTTCTGTGCACTTGTTGGTTTTAAAAAAATGAACAAATAAAAAACCCAAGTGCCTGCATGCTCATTCACAGAATTTCTGAAAGACCAAGAACTCTTAAATTTTATGAGAAACAAGAAAAACTTGCTATTTGAAGTGCCTTTAGGCATCGTAATTGTTTTATCAGGAAGGCTGTAGCACAGGCCAAAATGACAAAGAAAAAAAAAAAGAAGCAGACTGACAGACCTGCAAAGTTGTATGTCCACAACATATTTGATTGGACTAAAAGAATTAAGTCTAATGTCTTTCATAGAGTATGTCTCAAGGTGTAGTGGAGACCACTGACAAGATGTGCAACAACATCTTGAAATAAATGTGTCACGACACTGTGGAATCAGGCCATTGTCAATTGGAGATGATATATAAGATAAAGAAGCAACAACTGTATCTCTTCCTTGAATTGTTTTCTTTTCCCAAACGTTTAGAACACTTATATTGAACTAAGAGATTTATATGAAGCTGATGACGGGTCTCCTTCCAAAAATATTGTGTTTATATACTATGTTAATGAAGTTCCTTTTTCATTTTTGTTTTTGTTGTCCAAGTCATGTTTCATAGTTTGCTGTTTTTCACTGTCTTGTTGTACTCAGTGTAGTGGATGCTGTTTTTGGCAATAACAACAAAATGGCAATTTCTATCTATTTATCTGCTTCAGATATAAACTGGAAGGCTTCAACAGATTTCATCTGTCGAGTTCTGATGACATCTGACTGAGGCAGTGCCATGCATACGAAGCCAGTCCTGTTTTGCAATTCTATCAGCACAGCCTTTCCAATAGGGCAATATCACTCCGGTACTTGCAGCAATTTACTTATATCTCTGCCTGCATATTTCTACAGGGCTTTTGCCCTCAAAACCTGGTGAATGTGGTTCAATGCTCACAGCAGGATAATGTGAATAAAACTAACATGTCTGTGTGTTAATTTCAAATTGATTTATTGTGAATAATTTATTTGAATTCCTGTTGTATGAAGATTAGTGTTCATCATCTTGCAGCAGGTCATCTGTAAATAAATTCACAGAACGGGATGTTTTTTTCCTTGATTGAAAAGAGCTTCTGTCATTATTTTCCTGATTTGTACAAAGATGAATTTTATATTGCATGGTCCTGGGGTCTTAACTATTTATGATGACTTTCATGGTTTTGCGGTCATTTTTGTTGATCATTGATCAGCGACTGTTTGTAAGCTCAGTCAGCAGATGTTTTATCATTTTCACAGGATATCTGTGTAACTGCTCTAATGTTCTGTATGTGTGATAGAAGAATGGACGCACCATATATATATATAGTTCAAGATTTCGGGGACAGGTTGCTGTGAATAGTTTTTAAGTTGGGTTGTGAAATCGTACACATCTCTTTCTTTGGAGTCAAAATAGAAATTTTAAGATTTGTGCAATGCGTGACTATCTTTGCAGACCCGTCCTTGCTTCAAATAACACTTTCTCTTTCTTTGCCTCTGTTACCTACTTTGTCTAGACTCATTCGCTTTGAGTCATTTCGAAGAATGTAGAACTGTATCTTGGATTGAAAAGTCAAGTGTTAAGTTTTTTCTGGAGTATAGTCATTTTATTTATATACCAGCCAGTGGAAAAAAGGTATACATCTCTTTTCTCAAAAAGTGGAAAAAGGTACAAATGTGCAAAACCTACCATCCTTGACCATTTTGTTATGCTCATGCTTACTTCCCAGATTGAGATAAATGACTTAAATTTTGGTATGAAATGTGATAGGGTTTGTTTTTATAAATGAGCCATAGAAACTTTCTACCAATGTAGGCTCTGACATTAAATATTCTCACACAATTTTTGTGATTAAATACATAAAAGGGCCTGTGTCAAAATATACCTTCAAAAATACATTTATAGCATAAAATACACACAAAGCCTTGTAAATATCTGTAGATTAAAGAGTAACGAATCATTTCTATAAAATGAAAATCAATTTCCAACCTTTATTGCCCTGTATGTCAGTTTGAGCAAATAGGTCTTGTACTAACTTTTTCCTGGCATGCACACAAATTATGATTACGGGATATTTATCTGGACTTTTTGGAATATTTCCTTTGGAAAACTATCCTGTCAAAACAGTCTTTTCATAATTAAAGGAATTGAGAAAAGTGAAAGAAATAGGCTGCCATTTTGTTGTTGAGGATATTTTGTGTTCATTTTTAGGTGAAGCCGCAGGCTTAACACATGTGAGAAGATTCCTCTGCATGTTTCTAGTAAGGGTGATCCTTGCGCTCATTTTGAAAGTGTCCTACTGACTTCATGTTTTCTCTGAACATTTAGATCATTGGCATATTGTCTCATTTGATATGTGAAAAGTGATATGCAAAGGAACTTACTTTTATTTAAATTTTGTAAGTTGTGATTTTTCAACTTTAAAATGAACGTCTATTCCCACTTTCTGAGCTCCCTCTTCTATTTTTCTTTTTTGTCACACTTCTTTACTCTAGTCACAGCTTTGCTGAAGTGATTAAACACTTTTCAACTCTTTATTGTGCTTCATATCTCAATGTGTGGTCATTTTGGCTTCATGTGGTCCTGCTGCTGGCAAATGTTTGCTCTTCCCATGAAGAGTTAAGCCTTGACTACCACAAACTAGATGTTTCCCTGACCAAGCAGCAATGGTATAGTTGCCTTCTGTGTGAAAAGATAATGGATATTGACTCTGAGTATAGAAGAATGCAGTCTAGCACATACATAGTGAACATGCACCTACCGATAAATACACATGGCAAATGGATTTTCACAATTTTGTTCTTATATATTCTTTATATTCAAAACATATAGAAGAACTAATGATTGGTACAAAATAAAAGATCTGGGTTCAGTGAGGGAAGATTTAATTGGAGAGAGAAAAAGAGAGAGAGAGAGAGAGAGAGAGAGAGAGAGAGAGAGAGAGAGAGAGAGAGAGAGAGAGATTGTTTGTTTAAACAGTTTTAACTGTGGTAATAATATTCAAAACCACATTTTTTATTGAATAATGACAGTTTCAACTTGCATCTTGTGTTCTTACATTTTTTTCCAAGCCCAACCTTACCTGTTCAAAGACTAACACTTTACATTTCTGAGCTGAGTAAGCACTGCATCCACTGCTCCTCCCCTAGACCTTTGTAAAGTCTGTTTGGCTACTTTTTTAAGGTGAAGTAGGCTACTCTGAGATTATGGTTTACAGAGAGAGGATCATCACCAGTTATAATGTAAGGGGAGCAGCTAGAAAATATAATTCGTGCAAAGTCTAGTCAAATGCTTTTAATGTAAAAAGTGCCTTTGTCTTAGGGTCACCTAGCAGGCAGCACGTGTCCAGAGTCACTCTTGCAATATGCTCCAGAAGTTCTACTACATCCAAATGACGTCGATTGTTTTATGGGGATTTTTCGTTATAATTTTTTTTGTGGTTGGTTTTTTTTTTCTTTTTCTTTTGCTTGGGAGTTTTGAGGGTTTAGAGAGGTTAAAAAACACTGTTGATAACTTAGCCTACAGTGATAGTTCATGTCTTGTTAGAAAAAAACACGATTACTTCCATGTATTATCAGCCTTTGTGAAATGATGTTGTTTTCTTGTTTGAGATTTGTTTTGTTGTTGTTGTTGTTAATCCAGCAGCCCATGGGCTCTCACCATTCCGCCCAATGCTAAATTGTAGTCTTTTTTGTTTAAGTGTTGTGATTTTGTTTTAGCTTCCTAATGTTGTTGCTCAACCAGTAACACCCGGTCGCCTCAGGGCAAGTATCCACCGGCTTGTATATCAAATGTACACACAGCCAAAATATATCACTTGTCAAAACTTAACCAAAAGAGAGAATGAACAACTTTATAAATGAACTTGGTTTTTATGAATAATTTCTAATTACTGTAGTTTAAAGTATGCTTTTTAAATGTGAATCAGGTCTGTTTGTGATGAAATACTTAGATTTAAACAAATGATTTTCATAAGTCTTCCTCCTCCCCTTAAAACAAAAGTCAAGCACAGATTTGAACTGCAATATTGTCATTGGGTCAATCCCATTTAGCGCCGTGGAAATTTGATTGTCTGCTCTCTCTTACTTGGGCTCAAAAAGTATTTGAGAAGATTTTGTTTTAAGAAAAGAGTTGTTTACTCTGTGGCAGAGCAGAATGTGAGCAATATGTTGCAGGGCAGAATATGAGCAATATGTTGAGAGAAAAAGTTAGTGCGTCCGCTCTGTATTAACGTAAGAAAGCAGTTTGGCAGATTTATGTTTCTGTTATGACTGTTTCTGAATAACTGTCATTTGTGTGCATGAAGGCAAAGGTCATGGTTACTGACTTACTGAAATGAATGAATTTCTCATGATATGTGTACCAATGTCTCTCCAATGGACTCAGTCATAGCGGCAGATTAGTTTTTAATGGAATGTGTGTCTTGTAATCAAATGTTGTGTTTGTTTTGGCTTCACTCTTTGCATGGGGAGGGAGTTCAGAATAAAATCTTCAAATTTTATGAAGCAGTTATTTTGTTTGTCTGTGCAATTACTGATAGTTGCTGTACTTTGCAAGAGTCATTATATCAATGGCTGGACGCAAGACTCCAACTAACGTCATTTATATTCATGGCTGGGAGCAAGACATGCAATGATACACACAGTTTATAATATAGCCTATGTGCAGGACTCCCACAAATGCCAAATTGGAAAATGGCATTTGTCGGAGTCTTGCATCTAGCCATGGATATGTATTTATTATCTGATGTTACAGTCAAACCTTATTAGTAGCCCCCCCCCCCCCCCCCCCCCCCCCCACTGTACGCTAGAGGAATGATATAATCATTTTATTTGTGGCTTCACAACTGCCAACTAATGTAAATTTAGCCAGCTGTACTGCCAGCGAAGTGGCTGTCAGAGGTAAACACTACGCATGGCCCACTCCACCCACACAGTGGCTGCTTGATAATCTCTTGCCCACACTCGTGTCTGAAATCTCTGCCTATTTCTAGGCGCTTGCCGATTTTCTCTTGATTTGCGCTGATTATAGATTAATGCTATTAGTTCAAAGCCTTGGCCAATATTTAAAATAGAATTGAAATGGCGTTTAAAAGTCGTCTGAAGAATTCAAAGGAGCTGCGCCAACTTGGCCTGAGAGTTAAATATATGACTTCACCAGGTATCAGCCCAATAACCCAATGTCTGGTGGGCGCCAGTGAGGATTTTATGTTATACAAGAGAATTCATACTCAAATCTACCTGATATGAGGTCTAAGGCGGCCCAAGGACTGACGAGTATCAGTTTTTAAAAACCATGGACGTCTACAGGGCCCCTGATACAAACAGCCTAGCTTCTGATCCTAGCTTCTTTCAATCTGAATTTAGTTTAAGGGGGGGGGGGGGCTACACCTGAAGGCTAACTTGCTTAGTAGTGGATCAAATTTAACCAAATTTCACTCATATAACAAGCATAGTAAGGAGTCCTAAAATCCGCAATCAAATTTGAAAAAAAAAAGTTTTGTTTCTATGGATACGGCGGTCACATTAGATTTTGTTGGGATGTTTTACGTAATGACTACCGCACGAATTATTGCTCGTGGAAACTGATTGTTTTTTGGGGGGGTTTTTTGCATGCGTGTTAACAAACATTAGATTTTAAAATTTGTCTGACGTGTTTTTCCTAAACGAATTAGAAAATTTTTAATGAATTTTTTCCTGAGGTAGTATTCAAGTTTGCAAAAAATTCGTGAAAATCCACACTCCAGACACCACCAACAAAAATCTTTTCCATATATATATAAAAAATTCAACAGACAAATCTTTAGTTTTACATTTTTTCTTCTTTCTGTGAAAATTTCATGAAGATTGGATGTAAAATGGTGGAGTACGACGTTATTTAAAAAAAGGCCTATATAGAGAAAAATCGCGTTTTGAGAAAACGGCCGATAAAGAAAAGAACCAAAAACATATTAATTGACTTTATATGAAAATGGTTGTGACAAACATGCCGGGTATGGGAAGAAATATGGCCATGCACAGTTTGTCTCTATACCTGTCCTCCACTCGTCAAGACCTATGGCAATCGGTGCTATCCCGTTAGGCCATACTGCCAGTCCCGCTGTTAAACATGTTCCGCAAACTTTATGCGTGCCCCAAGGTAGGCGGTATACCGGGATTTGTTGACTGTATTTTTGACATTTGTTTATTTTAAATATGTTTAAAAGAAAGGTTTCTGCTATCCTAACGTTTTAACCCACGAAGTGATGGTGTTACGCTCCAGTCTTGTAACTGATTACTTTTTTAAAAAAGTTTCGAAGTACAAAAATACCCTTCTTATTCTAATGATGAGAAAGGTAAGCCCACGTAGACTACTCTCGTACTCTTGATTTTAATTGAAGACCTTAAATTGACCTTAGCAATGGTCGTAAGACAAAAAAAAGCAACCCTATTATTCTTCTAATCACATTGTCAGAGCGTAACACTGTTGATAATTCACTGACTTGCACTTGGTGCAATTTTATTAATGTAGTCATGTGAATCTGACAGGCAGGGCCAAAACTCGCCTTCTGAATTATCTGAATTTTGTCAATGAGGCCTTTTAATGCACCTGTATTTAAAAAACAAATCCTCTGAAGTCTGTAGCTTTTCTTTTCTTTTTCGTCAGCAGATGTGACTCGGGCGTCTATAGTATAATGTAGATTACTAGATGTAACTGGTTGGGCCGTTCACATTGCACAGACACCCGATGTTCAATTTAGGCATGGGGAAGATACCTTGCCGAGCAAAATTTGCTTGAATGAAAAGGTTATTTTTCATTTCATTTTTTTTTTGTTGGTAAGTGTTTTACGGAGCTCTCAATTGCATAATGTCATATGAGCGCGCGGGACACGTTAATTTCAGAATAGGTATATTCATTAGCCTACATATAATACCTCTATTACTATTAATTAGGCTAATAATACCCGGGTGACCTCCATTGATACAACAAAAGTATCAATCGTTGAACAGAGGGCGAAATCGCTCTGGTTGGCAAGCACTGGCCTCAATTATGAAAGAACAGTATTAAATGAAAATAAAGCCTCAGGAAAATTACCATGGTGTCTTCTTTTTGTACACTTGTAACAACAACAACAACAACAACAATAATAATAATAATAATAATGAAAATGATCATGAGAATAATTTTAAAAAATAATGATGATGATGATGATGATAATATTGTGACTTCATATCGCGCCAGAAGGAGAAGGCTCTGCATGAGCGTTGTACAATGTATATTATTATCACTCAACTCAATTGAAAAATCAAAGATCGACATTCTATTCGCATGGTCACTGTGAGACCATCAAAGCAGCAGCAGCAAAAACAACAGCAACAACAGCAACACACAAAGACACTCACACACACACACACACACACACACACACACACACACACACACACACACACACACACACACACTCTCTCTCTCTCTCACACACACACACACACACACACACACACACACACACACACACACACACAGACACACGCGCACACACACACAGAGAGAGAGAGAGAGAGGGAGAGAGAGAGAGAGAGAGAGAGAGAGAGAGAGGGAGAGAGAGAGAGAGAGAAAGAGAGAGAGAGAGAGAGAGAGACTACTCCCTGTCCCACATTCTCACATATATAGGCCTACAATAAAAATTAATCTACTCAAAATAAGTTAAAGACCACTTAAAGCCACACATAGTACATAAAACTGAAAAACAAGACACGGTTCAAAATTGTTTGAAAGAGGTCTTTATTCATCATATTACCTTTTGCAAACGGCATTTTGCACATTTTTAAAAGGAAAATGGGTAATGTTGAAGTTGAAAGGGGTAACCCATGTTTTTAAAATTCCCATCACAGCCGTCATAAACAATTAGGGCTGAAAAGCGCATGTGGTCACCATTTGCAAGAAAACAGACGTAATTGCATCATTGTCTCATGGACTGAATAAGTGTTCGCAATGACATTTGTGGAATGGCTTGCCATTCTTGGTCCAAAATGTTAAAGAGTTCGTCCACGTTGTTTGGTGGTGGCTGGAGGTCTCTTACTCGGCGCCCAAGAGCATCCCACAGGTGTTCAATGGGACTAGGGTCCGGTGATCGGGCTGGCCAGTCAAGCCTGATCACGTGCTGCGGCTGCAGGAAGTCATCTACCTCTCGGGCGCGGCAAAGTTTGGCGTTGTCGTCCTGGAGTATCGAGCCCTGGTCCATTGCTCGAAGAGCTAGAATTGCAAATGGGCGGAGAATCTCGTCCCTGTAGCGGATACCCGTCAGAGTGCCTTGAATGCGCTGCGGGGGGGGGGGGGGGGAACAAAACAATCCGGTGGTTGAGTACAATCCTCCCCCACACCATAACGGAGCCTCCTTCATACCGGTCATGTTTCTGTACACAGTCGTCACCAGGGCGCCTCCAAACACAGATCCTGCCATCGTTGAACCTGTAGTCATCCGTGAAGAACACAGTAGACCATTGCGGGCGTGTCCACTTAAGGTGTTGGGCGGACCAGGTTCTGCGAGCAATCCGATGGGCTTGTGTCGGTGGAACCCAGACTGCTGGTCGTCTGGAGCGTAGCCCAATCTCATGCAACCGTTTCTAATGGTCTGGTCGCTGATTCCAACGTTGCCTGGGTGTACCATCTGCTGTCTGATGTGACGGGCAGTGCAGGTTCGAGTTGCCAGGGCTGTTCTGGCGATCGCCCGGTCCTCTCGTCGTGTGGTGCAACGTGGACGTCCGGACCGCTTTCGCTCAACAGCATTTCCAGTTGCAGAAACCCGTTCTTTCAGTCTGATGATCACTGAGAGACTCCCAGCAAGCCGTCTTGCCACTTCATGGACAGCAATCCCTTCGTGGAGCCAGGCAAGGGCTCGTCCCCTGTCGATGTTACTCAGACGTCTTCTTGGAGGCATTGTAAAAATCGCTTAATGTGCCCGCAACAAATACCCCTAGCATCGTCAAACTCATTTTTTAACCCATACCACTCACTGAAAATCACATGATTGATTGTCAAAAACAGGTTCAATTTTACGGAAAATTATCCCCCTTAAATCACCCAGTCTAAACAGCGTAGCTAGATTAAACGACATGTGTCAAATCGGTTCATCATTGTAAACATCGATGACCCTTCCTTGCAATGGAAACAACTCACTCACCTAACTTCTCAATACTTGTTTGTCACACATACTATTGTGAAATTGTGGTCCCTAACTTGTATTGAGTAGTTTAGCCCGCAAGCAGAGGAAGTGTTTAACATAATGACGTGTCTTTAAGACTTTTCTTAAACTCTCTCTCTTTCCACCACCCCTCCTCCCGTCCGCCCTCCCCCCCCCTCTCTCTCTCTGCCTCTCTCTCTCTCTCTCTCTCTCTCTCTCTCTCTCTCTCTCTCTCTCTCACACACACACACACACACTCATGTTGCGATACGCATATTTTGAGAAGAAGTTAATTAGGCCTAATTTTGGGGGCACATGAAGATAAAAGCTCTTCCACCCAACTCGTTAGACTTTTGGCGACAAAAGATCTACACCTAGTCTTCTCGGACAAGCGCGAAAAGTATCGGAGGTTCCGTGTGTAAGTTGCACACGTTAAAGATCCCTTGGTGGTCTAAAATCAATAAGAGTAAGCTTGGGCCGCCACCCGGGCAAAATTCAAAATTCCCTACCAACTGGGAGATGTTTGATAATGTGTCCCGCGCGCTCATATGACCTCAGTTGCGAACGCTGTAAAACGCTTACAAAAAAAAAGACTTTAGGCCTACGTGGTACTTTAGTCTCTCTCTCTCTCTCTCTCTCTCTCTCTCTCTCTCTCTCTCTCTCTCTCTCTCTCCCAATTTATAAATTTTACAACTGCAACAACTACAATATAACCGGAAATGGCAAGGGGTTTGACAGGTTCAGTTTTTATTTGTTGTCAGCGAGCAACGCCAATCCCATAGGGACCGACCGGAAAGGAATACGAGAAGGGAGCAGAGCGCTCAACGTTCAACGAGGATTGTGCTAGGCCTAGAGTAGACATAATCTTCTGTTTCAGAACAGTTGAAAAATGTTTCTGTTTGCGAAAATATTTTTTATTACAATAGCCTATCTTACTTTGATCGATGTTCTTGCGTGTGAAGGTAAATAATCTAACTCAAAATCAGTCTCTAAACTCGGGCGAAGTTTTAAAAATGATCTCCGAGGGCGGAAGGAGTTCCACCAAATCAACCATTCCAAATTTCGAGTGACCAAAGTCTGTGTGTGCATTCTTCAGTTACTTACGTAACGATTTGTCCCTCATAAATAATTTTTATGAAAAGGTACATGTGTTGAGAAAAGTGTCCACTTTTGAACCAGAACAGAAGGAAGGGGAGAAAGAGCCATCATAATCATCATGTTGTGTGTAGTATGATGTATGATATTGTATGGTCCATACTGGGAAGAGCATTGAAGAGGGCCGGCCGACCAACAACACACACACCCTAACCCTAACCCAATCCAACTCTTGTTGTATAGTTTTCTCAGTGGACCTTGTCATGGTAGATCTAATCATTACCCTTCTGCGGTCCCTACGAGTTACTACGGGGTTTTTTTTACGTTCGGCCAACGAGATTGCTAGATCTAGAGATTTTTGGACTGTCTTGCCAGGGAAACTGTGAGAATATATGTGCCAATGAAGTTTTGATTATTTTGCGAGAACGGGAGGGGGGGAGGGGGGGGGGCGAGGAAAGAGGAAGGGGTTCTCCCCCATGACAAACTTAATGAATAGTTACTGGTCCGAGATTCTTCATTTAGGGAGATAAAAAACTGGGGAAAATCAGGAATTCCTAAGGTTGAGAACAGAGATCTAGGCAAAAGCAGTCTTAATCCGCTGGTCCGGAATTCTTCAATCTTACCAAGAATTTAAATCACAGTTACTTTATATTATATATTTTATAAAAGCAAATATTAAAAATGGGAAATGTCAAAATGACGTTAGGACGTGACAATGTGGCATTCCCGCGAGTCATCTACTGGAAGTCTCGTGCGGTCTCACTGCCAATATATAAACAAACTTGTAGGGACTGCAGAAGGTGAGGATTACCCTTGTCATGGTAAGTGTCGGCCCTCTGTGGAACTTCTCCCATGACATGGTATAAAAATAATGTTACTCAAGACGAAGCGCGCAGCGTTTCACCTTAAGTAACCGACCCTGAAGCCCAAATGCTGTGCCACCACGACCAATCGGTTGTAAATTAAAGGGTTTGGAGGGGGGGGGGGAAATCAGCTAGAGAGATGTGTTACGTGTATACCTACTTGAAAAATGACCATTTACGGCTCAACAGATGATAAAATTACAGGCATCCATATCTTTTCTCAGAGCTGATAGAATGAGCCATTCAAAAATGATTTATAAGCGATCTAACAAATACAAACAAAGCGCAAAACGCGATGAACTCACATAATTTTAGTACATTAGCACAGTGGAACAAGCGATAACACACAATCATAGCAGTGTAGTTGCTCAGCTGGACCACGCCACTTTATCAATCGATATCTGGGCCAAAAGATCACTAACAGTCATTGATCCCAATTTATAACTTTGACCTGCATTTTACTACGTCATTTTCCATATAAAGGAATACTGAAATTTTCCATCGAAAAGGGTCAGGGTCTAAATATATAATTTTTATAATGTAGACTAGAGGGCCTGCGTGCTTCCCGGTCAAAGTAGGTTGGCCCTAGGGCCTGTCGCTTCCCGGTTAGCGCGGCTATGCCCTATAGGGCCTGCGCACTTCCAGGGATAACTCACTTGCGACTGGGCCCTTTCACCAGTCACAAGCGTTGAAGACTGGCGTTTTTGGGGGTATTTCAATAAATCACCACAACTCTCAGAATTACCCTATTGTAATCATTTTTTGACACAGTAAAGTAACATTCAACCTTAATCTAATACAAAAAAACTAAAGTTGTCTAAGTCTAATATTTTAATTTGTATGATTTTTTAAAAATTGGCATGAATTTGATTTTCCAAAAAATTTCCAGAGACGTGACAAGTAGAATGAAATTCACTGCAACAACAAAAATAAAAGTTCAAAGTGTTCTGGTTTGATTTGTATACATGTGTGAGTGTTTGGTGAAAATATAAAATAAAAGCTGGTTTGTGCATTGATTCAGACCCATACACACTGAATTACATGAGACAGATGTACGGCACGACGTTGTGATTTCGTTGCGCGAAAAACAACACCGGTACTAGTGCTAGATCTAGCCCTAGAACTACGACTCCGGCCGTGTTCGGGAACATATCCAGGATCCTAACTATTAGACACATCATATTCTGAGACACTAGGACTAGTAAAACGCACAGAAGTATAAAAAACGGCGAAATTATGTGATTCTTGTTCATGCGACTTCTTCGACCGTTACTACGACGCGACTGTCGGATTACTATGAGCTGAATAGAAAAAAACAAAGCGCGAGTTCCGGTCTGTTCAACCCCAGTTGGGGTCACTGCCCTTCACCTTCAATAACTTAAAAACTACCGGCCCCAGAGATACGAAACGAAGTCTAAGTAGCTCAGGCTTTGCCAAACAAGGGTATGAGGCGGGTCTCTCGATCCGTGCGTGATTTGTAGAGCGAAAAAAAAATTCCAAAGTTGGTCACGCCGGGCTTGTGAGACCCGTCGCGAGCGTCGCGGCGGGGGTCACGCAACTGTTGTGTGACCCGTCTGAAGTGAGTTAATTGGATTTATAAGGAAAATAAAGCACCTGGAGTAATTTTTCAAACATAGAAAGTAACAGTACTTTATTGAATGTGAATAGACTTGCAGAAAACAATATTTATCTGGGAAATCTGACTGCCAAATCTTGTTTTTTTCCTGCAATCCACAAGACCATTTCTGATTGATTTGGAATTATAAATTTATCCATACTTTTACCAAAGAACTGCACTGTTATGATCCGTTTGTATCTAGTCCTAAGTATAGTTTGTTGTGAAGTGGTCAGCTTTAGTCTACTGGTTAGGTTAAAGGCTTTTGGGCTCTCAACCATAAGGCAAGTTCGTCGGTTCAAATCCTCTCAGGGGCTTGACGATTTTGTGTCCTTAGAAAAGGCACTTTACGTGAATTTTCACCCAGATGGGAACAAATACCCAGTTATCTATATATAGACAGACTGTGAAAGATCTTGTCAGTTTGTTAGTGTTTATTATTTATAGTGTGTGTAATCTACAGAATGCACTGTACAGGAAGCTGAGAATGTTTCTTAGTCGTTTTCGGGTCTACTGTGGTAAAAATAGTGGTAAAGCACAAGCATGCTTTAGGGCATGGATGTGCTTTGTAAAAAATCATTAATGTTGTTATTTTAATAAAATTAATATGAATTAGGTCCCAGTTATATTAGTATTAAAAGACTAAGGGTCTAACAGTGTAAACAATGGTTATAATGTTATTTTCTTTTTCATAATGAAATTATTTTGTGCCTTTTTTTATATTCCTTCAGCTAATATCCACGACAAAGTCAGCTACCATGAGCTCATTAGAGGTAGTGAGACGTCAGTGAAAACTCGAATTCGCCGAAGTGTGGACCAGAGCAAGGATATGATGAATGACTTGACAAAAGAGTTTCATTTCACGGCATACAACATGTAAGTTTATAATTAGTCTTCTTCATGGCGTATGAGCAAGTTTATTACTTTACTTTATTTCTCTTTTAATAACAATATTTGTATATTATTATGGCCTATTTCGCCAAATGTTTAAAATATGTTGTTTAAGTGGATTGGTTCCATGAGATCACGTTTTAAAATTTTGACACCCCTTTGCTCTTTCTCTGCCACTGTTGTCCTCATTGTTGGTATCTTTTACTGTAGAAAAAAAATGCTTTTTTAATATAATATAGAGGAGTTTTTAAACCCCCATTGATACAATTTAGGAATCATTTAGGAGGCGGGCTTCAACCTACAGGACCAAGCCGGACTGAGAGAGATGTAACAACATCCCCTCTGAACGACTAAGAGGGACACAAATTTTGCACAGACAAGACGGATAAACTTGATAATGATTCTCCTCACAAGGGAATTGACCTCCAGTCTTCTGCTTGTGATGGCAAAAAGACGCTAAATGCTTCAAACCACAAATGCCAGTATCTGTTGCTGTGTCCATTGCAGTGCTGACTTGCCATTATATAGTGCTGAAAAACTCTTACTAAAACTATTTCACACTCTCTTCTATTTGAAGGACATTTGTCTGCCACATGACTCCTCGAACAGGCTTTTTCTCGCCGAAATTCAAGCTCAAAGTGTATGGAGCAGATGGGGTGCCCCGCGAGTTTGGCTTTCGGCATGATCAGGTCTATGTAGGATCTTGTGATGGTAAGTGAAATTTAAAATGTTGTCTCTCTCCTTACGTGCTCATCCTGTCCCTTTGTGTACAACTCCAATGACAACTCAGTGTGCTGAATAGAATGTTTTTTTAGAATCATTTCTGCAACTTATAGCTTCTGTCCCGTAAATTCTGAGTAGGAATCATCATTATGCAATGGGTCACTTATTCTTGATATATGCGAGAAGAAACAGTTGTTTGTGTCTTCTCACTTGAACAGCCTTTTAATAATAAACCTACTGATTTCCTTTAAGTAATGTCAAGAAAGAGTTGGAAATCGTGTGCGTATGTACTTTCTTTACATTGTATGTTGTGAACCAGTACTCATACAAGCAGTAAAGGGATTTTGTGTGTGGTAAAAGCGTGGATGATAAGCCACAGTGCAAAAATATAACAGGTTTTTACTTCTCCTGCTATTTATTATTGTTATTGTTATTATAGTTTAATAATTATTATTATACTCACTATTATTACATATTATTATTGCTTTATTGTTATTGTTATTTATTGTCAATGTTTTTGAGTAAATGATTTCAGGACTTTTTTTGTTTTCTATGGTTTATATTACTTAACACTTTTCAGTCACTTGGCACTATAATACAACGGTGAAAATTATCCGTTCCGATCTCCTGGCGCAATTCTGCGCCAGGCCTGAGAAGTCTGTTGCAGTCACTCTCCTAGCTAGGTGACCAGATGGAGTATTTTGTACAGCTGGCTGTGTGACTGCAAAGTGTTAAGGCAATACTGAACATTGTGAGTCATTTTGAAGGTGAAGCTTTTGGTCTCCTACCTAGATCTCGGACAGAGGAGAATATTCCTGGAAGGGCCATAAAAATATTTCAGACCACACTCTAGTCGGAGGCTTTTAATTTTGCACGAGAAAGAAAGACATGAATGAGAGAGTTTTAAAAGGAGTGTTAATCACTGTAGAACACAAGAAAGTGAATTTCCTTATCCAGCTTTGGAAGCAAGAACAACATAGTTGTGATCAATAGTGATTAAAAAAATGTCCGATCTTAGCTGAGTATTGTGGCTCCTTCAATTTTGTCACATCAGTCAGTCAAATATGAGAATGAGAAAACTGAAAACTGAAACAAAAGTGACTTCTGAAAAGAATGAAAGCTTAAACAGATTAAGATAAAAGTATATCCCTGGCTGTGACCCCTTCCATATATCAACCCGGCTGCTCCCACTTATTTGAAAATTGTTGACAATTATTTTCTCCATTCTATCGAAGCAAAGTGAAGTTGTCCAGGCTAATCACAAAGTGTTAACTAGTGAAATGGATAAAGATACAACTTTTGGTTTTTAGAGGCAGCCAAATGAATCGTTTAACAAAACTACTGCAATTTTCTCTGGAATCCTATGTTAGTGTTGTGGAAATCGTCCAAGAAAGTACTAAAAATACCACTTTCTATTTTTAGCAACCTACTGAGCAATGGGTTAAGCAGGTCTTGAATGTGAAGGTTTTAAAGCTTTTCTGGAAAGTTTCAGATATATATCTTTTTGCTTTGATAGTAGTAAAGGGCATAAAGTATGCTGGTGAGTGTGGATGTACGCTATATGAATGCAATTGTTATTATGCTTTTGCTAAATTTGACCATAATATGACATCTCTTGGTTGTAATTGTATTTAAAGGCGATTAGCCTTTTCAATGTCTTTAATAGCTCTAAAAGTGACTTAATCATATTTGTATATGTTGAATATCTCATTACTCCTTAACACTTACAGTACCGAAGGTTCATATATCATATAGTGAAAAACCCTGAGGTACCGCACCAGTTTAGGACGCTGAAGCCGTGGTAGAATTTTTTTTAGATTAAAGAAACCTTGGCAGCCCAAGAAACACTCTTTAAAAATCATATAGGTTCATCAACCATTCAGCTATCATACAGAGTGACTTCCTTTGGAATTTACTTCAGTGCAGTGCATCCATAGGTTGTTTAATTATGTTTAGTGTGCCTAAAGTCGCTAGCGGTAGCAAGGGAATACTACGGCCTAGCAATGGTACTGTAAGTGTTAATCACCCCTAGCATGCATTGATCAGTATTTTATTAATAAATTTTATCCGATGTTATTTCCTTTCAGGGGACCCGCAATCTGAAATAAGAGGGACATTTAAGGGAGACATTTTCACAGGCTCCCTCTTTTACAAAGGACAGATGTATGGCATTGAGGTGAGTGGCTTTTATTTATGTACTGGCCTTCACAGGTTTTAATGTGTTGTTTTTGTTTGTTAGTTTTTTGTTGTCTTTTTTTTTCTTTTTAAAGAAGGAAGCTAATGCTTTTTCTCGAATGATTTTGGAAGGAAGGACTTCCGTAATGAGCGACCACCCCAACAAACACAATAAAGGAGACCTTTTACCCCTACCCCTACCCCTATCCCTACCCCTACCCTTAACGCCCTAATCCTAATCTTAACAATTGACCCAATTACTACCCTCTCTTCTAGACTGTATTTCATAGTGGTCACTCGTCACGGAACTCCTCCCTTTCGCAATGTAATCTTTTTGGATATATTTTGTTGAAGAAAGTATCGCGCTTTTTTACTCACAGCGTAGGTGAGTCTCTTTCATGTCTCCAGTAGTGCCACTTGCACTTGATGATTGTCCGAGGATTTTCCATTGCTCTGTACACTCTAGGACAGTTCTTTCAAATAATTTTGTGAAATGAGAATTTTATCCATAGAAAGCAACATTGCACCCACATTTACCAAACTATTTATTATGTGCCAAAGGGTATTGTACGAAGCAGTCTTATAAGGTCCGAATGAAAATGAAAAGTGTTTTGTATGACCCATTCTGTACACCAGGGTTCTTAACCTGGGTGCAATGGAACCCTATTTTTCAGTGAGTCAATCTCAGGTGTCTGGGGTTTGGGGGAGGTCTAGCTCCACACATTGTGTATGTGTGTGCCCGTTCCGATCACTCCACTGGAAGTGAAAGGTTTTGTTGAATGCACATATGAAACTTGAAGTGAAAAGTTTTGTTGAATGCACCTATGAAACTTGCAGAGTTCAATACCTCCATCAAGGTTAAGAACTACTGCTCTAGACTATCGAAGTAAACATGCATGCATGAAAATTACCTATTTACTACTTCAGGATGCTGCCCGGCATATTCCGTCAGTGCCCATTTCTGAACAAATGATTGTCTACCGCAATGCTGATATGAAGTGGAACAAAGAGAACAAGGACAATGACGGGTTTGTAGTATTGTTTTTTCTCATAATATTGATTGTTGCAGAAAATTGAATGAGGCTTCATGAGTTAAAAATTCTGAAGCAAAGAGAAAAGTTCGCAAACTGCGCACATCCACAAGGGGAAAGGAAGCTTTTAAGTCGTCAAAGTATGGCAAACTCTTCTCTGCCAGAATTGGTCTCGGTAGCCATAGCAGAAACCACACATCATCCTTTTCTCTTCTATTTCTGTTTAAGAAATATTTTCTTCTGCAGATGCATATCCTTATTATCGTCATTTTCCTCTACTTCTTTTGTATGTTTGTCACTCTCTTGTGAACTGCTATTTCCGGGGTTGGGTGACTGCCAAAGCTTGAAAGTCCTTGGAAACAACAAAATAAAAATTTTTGCTCCTATAATGAACTTTCTGAAATGTGCTTTTTTGGCAATAAATGGTGTTGAACAAAAAAAAACCCAAAATTCGATAAAAATTGCAAATTGAGTGGAAAAAATATGGTTTCTGTTATTCAGTTATTTTGACGAGCGCCTGATTTCCTCACACTGTCTCACTTTAAAAAATGTTGAAAATTGTCTACGACGCTTTGCTTCATCTCCCTGAATGTATACCTAGGGGAGGGGCTTGTAATAAAGGTTTCTTTCTTTGTATGGATATCTTTGGCTGTAGCATGTATTTTTAAATCTGTATTATGTGTTGTTTTTGGTTTTTTGCCTTTTTTCTGGTTTGTTTTCATTGAAACTTTTATTGTGAAAATTGTGTGTGTTGTGCAACTGCGTGTAGTCAGCTTGGTTTACATTATCTGCTTACATATTTGAAGTGTTAAATCTGTGCTTACCCCCTCAGGTGGTGCTACTGACTGAAGTGTCTTTAGGCATTTCCCACTGGCAGGAACATTAACATCTCAAGTTCTTATGCACAGAAGAATTGTAAATGGGCTGATTCATCAATGTCATGCTCATAACTGTGCCTGAACTGCAACAGGGAACTGCTGCTTTTTCTTTCCTAATCCTTACTACCGTCATTTTTCCTCTACTTCTTTTGTTTGTTTGTCACCCTCTTGTGACCCGCTATTTCCGGGGTGCCTTGATAGTCGAAGCAACCTTTGTGCTGTTGAAGCTAGAGAGATGAGGAAAGTACGTCTGATTTCCTGTAAGGACTTCTCTGTTGACATATGCCCCTTGGGGCTCATATGACCTTATGCAGTTGCGAACACCGTAAAACCTCTACTAAAAAAATCTGTGCCTTTAAATTAATAAGATAAATATTTAGGTCAGAATGCAATGTACAGATTATATGGTATGTTACTGTTTTATTGTAAAGCACTCGGATCCTGTGTGCTTGAGTCAGTGTTGAGGGCTATATAAATGCCATGTGTTATTATTATTATTATTATTATTATTATTATTATATTTATTATTATTATTATTTTATATCAGTTACATAAATGTCTGCATGATCTAGAGATATACTATGATTTTCAATTCTTTAAGAGTATATTATGTTCAGCCTGAAATAGCCTTGGCGTGCTGAGATAGACGTATAAACATTTTCGTTACTTATTCTTTTCAGAGGCCGTTTCTGTGGGAACACTGATGGTTTCTCAGCTGATCCTGTGGCCGACAAAGAGGAGATAGTGGTTGATAAAATTGTTCAAGGTGAAATGGAAGTTCATTGCTATTCAACTTTTCAATTTTAACCAATTAACGAAACTTCTATTCACAATTTCATGATACCTTCAAGCTTATTTTTACCTAATTTTTTATTTCAATTTACATATTCGATATATGGTGTATTTGAAACTTTCGTTACTTTGTTTTATACAATTTATAAGTAGATATTCATCACAATGCTTGTATGTGTCAGATTAATTCTTTTTCAGTGTTTTGTTGAATGTCAGATTAGTTAGTTTCCTCTAAGTGTTTGTTTTGTTTTTTTCCGCCTTGCTAGTTTTTTGGCCGAATTTGAATGCAATTTGTTGCTCATGTATTGCGATGTTTCATCACTTTATGAACGTGACGGAATCTGAAGTTATTGCTGACTCATATGATACAGTCATATTTTTTTTAGACTAATAGAGACCAATACCATGAAGTATTGCAATGATGTGTGTTTCACTTTGTCTTTTGTTTCACCTTGTTTTTGCTTGTGTCACTACTTGCTTAAAGATCATCATTCTGGGCGAAAGAAACGAGCTACTGTTCCGACGTGGGACACTTGCCGCATTGTGGCTGTAGCAGACTACAAGTTCTTCCGTGAAATTGGCAAATCAGACGTTTATGATACGGCTTTGCATCTTGTAAGCCTTGTTTGTTTTGTTCTGGTGTTTTAAATTATTTTTTGGTCTGCTATTGAGAGATCGTATGCTTTAGCTTGGCTGCTGTGGATATTTAGTTGATCAATTTTTTGATGAACAGATGATGCTGAGCTGTAGTCTACTTTGAGTCTGCTTTCTAATAGTCTCATTTTGCTCAAGGAAGATTAGGGGGACAGCAAAAGTGAAAAGAAGTAGAAGGAGGAAACCAGACCAGAGCATCCACCAACCATCCCTGTGACAATTATCTTATGCTAAGTAGTCTTGAAAGTAAAAGATCAAGGGGAAGACTGTGTAGAACCTGGAGTAGAGTCACAGAAATTGATGTACAGAAAAGTGGGACAGCGTGGAATAACATCGATGGCTGGCCAAGGATAGGGAGAGATGGAAAGTGTGTGTGGCCTTTACCCTGATGCAGGGGGAAAAAGGCAGTGATGATAATGATGAAGTAGTCTTGATGAATAGGGTCATCTGTGTGCCTTGGGTCCGAGTATCTGGTTCAGTTTTTTTCTTAGAACTGGAATGTTTGAACTGTGACCCTTTTCACAAACATGATCCTACCAGGGTAGATTTGTTGAGCATAAAGTCTTTTCAGATATGTGTGTTAGGTTTTGTTAGAGATATAGTGTTGTGCATTGTGCACACATGAAAGACACCTAGGCTGGCGGAAAGTTTAAGAGCATGGGTAGAATTTTGTAATAATGTATATCATCATAGCAGAAATGGAATCGAAACTCTTTATCATTATAGTCTTAGAGTTTCACAAAAAATCATTTTTGGCTACCTGAAAGCCAAAAAACCGTTTTGTTCTCATAAGACAAATAGATCTCTTTGAAAAAGTTAGGTTCCTTTTTAAAAAAAAAAAAAAGAGAGAATAAGCCTGACATCTTGTAGAGGAACAAAAAAGTAAGATCCCCAATAGAGTTTTACAGTGTTTAGGTATAAGTTTGAATACCAGTTACTGAACACATATTGTGAGTCACTCTTTAGTGCTATTGCTTCTGTGATTTGCCATATTTATTTATATTTAGCTCTTGCATGAAAATTGATTCTTTAAAATTAAAAAGATACAAAGTTGTGTCATCTTAAGACCTTTCTAAAACAAAAGGCTTTTGTTTTGTTCTTTTTAAATGTTAATATTGTTTTCACCACTTCTTGCTGCTTACTGTTCTTCTTTCATGGAGTGTTTAAGCACTGATTTTGGTAGAACAAAAACGTTTTAAACTTTTACCGAAATTATAATTATGCATGGACATTTTTTACAGTAAAGGACATTTTCATCACTGTTATGTGGATAATGGTAATTACAGTCTAACATGCATGGGTCTCAATATTCCGCTATTTAGCGGATTTCCGCTACCGCCATTTCCTCCTCTAAACTCTGCTACCGCGACAGCGGGTCAATCAGAAAGAGAGTTGCTGGAAGCAGAGTGACTGCCAGGCCTCGGGAATTACCCGAGAATTTGAAAAAAATCGCCGAGACGCGGGAAAATACATAAAAGATCTCGAATATTATTTGAAAACCAAATCCGATAGCGTCTTTAAGTTCATTTTTGCCGGTCGCGATTGTGATATTAATTCGGCTTTTCCCGGTCTGAGAGTACGTTTCACGCGAACAGGAGGCTATGGCGGCAAGCGGAATTGTGTGTGACACCGAGGCTCGACCGGAAAATCAAGATCTCAGAAATTTGTCTGTAAAAGTCTAAATACGCAACATTTGTAACATGCAGGTTCTGCATTACAAACGTGGTGTCGCCATGAAAATAATGTACGTCACTGTGCTGTTGCTTGTGGGGGCAAAAAAAGAAAGTAATACAAGCGTCTTGTCGGGCTCGTCATTGTGACCGGTCAATGAACCTGCGCGCGTTCTGAGCGCTGTGAAGTACAGGACTCGGGAATGGGGGGAGATTATTGATTTTTTTTTAAAGATACACTCGAGGATGGGGGGAGGGCTGGACGCAACACCAGAGGACAAAAAAAGAAAAGAAATTGGAAGCAAATTTTAATATTTAGAATTTTGATTACTTCTACAGCTCTCTGCAAAGTAAAGTGCGCGTTTGTGCATGCCTTGTGTATAAGCGGGATCCGTCATAACTACTTGTAAGCGTGTTAATGAACTTAGGGCAGGGGCCTAAGTGTTCGCGTTTCATTGGATGGGTGAGAGTAAATTATGTCTCTATATTTTAGCTTTTTGTTCAAGATTCGCATATTTTCAGTGTCACTGCATCTTGCCCTCCCACAGTTTTTACACATCTCACACTGAATAGGTTTACTTGAGCTATTCAAGTTATTACTCTACTTTTGAGTTTGAGCACTAATTTTGTTTTTCACGTTTATTATATGAATCATTACACCCAGACTGGTTCATAACAGTCGATATTCTGGTTCTAGGCCTTTTCCCAGGCTCAAAACAAGATTCATTTTTATATAGTTTATATATGCAGGCGAATATGATGAAGGTAAAATATAAATAAGTCGCACAAGACCACAGTGCGCCTCCACTTTCTGTACGTCATCAAGATTGTAAATATTTGGTAAGTGACTCTTACTTGAAATTATCTTCCAAACCCTCAAACTGGTATGAAATAACCTTGCTTTGATAAATTGATGGTTTTTATTTCAACATTCTAGGGTCCCACAGTATAATAATAGTGGGTGTCTCGCGAAAATGGGCTTATGTCACGATCACGTGGAAAGTTCCTCCTTTTTAAAAATTCTGAGTTGAGACCCATGAACATGTTCGAACGGCCTACTGCTTAAGACAATCGTTCGTATAAACGGCCACTAACCATCCCCCCCCCCGTGTATATTTGTTTACATTACAATGGCTCTGTGTAAGGTGACCTGTCCAAAACGAACACTTTTCTCCTCAGCAATGATGGGTTTCCATCTTGGACAATGTTGACTGTATTACAGTGTTGTGTCAACATAATTATCACTGCCTGTCTCACCCTGCATCAGGGTATAGGCCACGAACAAACACTTTCCACCTCTCCTTATCCTGGGATGGCCTCTTGATATCACTCCATGTCTTCCTACTTTTCTGTACATTATTCATGATTGTGTCTCATACCCTAAATGATCTGAAATGTTTGGATTGGGATCTGAAACTCCTAAATCAATTGACTTATTTCCTCTAGGCCGGTGTGATGGACAGAGTTGACAATATCTTCCGAAGAACTGAATTCAATGTCAACGGAGTTCCCTACACAGGCATGGGCTTTGAAATCGCTGAGGTAAGGTTCCATTTATGTGACGGAGACATACTGTAGCTCTACAAACCTCTTTAATCTTCATGACAATACGGACTTGTTTCTCATCTGTATACAGACTTTATTTATTATATATCTTCATTTTAACTTTTTATTTTTGTTTGTTTAAGTTTAGGTACTTAGGTTTGCTCATTTTGAAAGTGAAATTGAGAGGAATAACTCTCTTTTTGTTTGTTTAGTTTTTTAATACTTTGCTTTGCTCATTTTGGAAGTGAAATTCAAAGGGGAGGGGGAAGAGACAGTGGAACAGTTTCAACAGAATGTGTGCATTGTCGGCTCATTGTGTAAAATTTTAGGGAAACATAGAGCTTTGGACTTGGTACTTCAAAGCTAGTAACCAGGCGTTGAATAAGAATAATAGGATGGTAAATTTTAATGAAATTGTTTGATTTTATGAGTGCAACTTTTCATTCATTTGTTCATTTTATGATTTTTCTTCTCATAATTCCAGATGAGAATCTTTGAAGCTCCTACAATAGGTTTTAACAAAGATACGGGCAGTTGGGAGGCTCAGACTTTACTGCAGGTACAAAGTTTTTTCTTAGATGATAAAGATAAGTAGTTTCATAAAGTGAATATATTTTACTCTTTTGAAGATGCTTCAATTAAACTTGTATCTTTTAAGTTTCATTATACCATAAAACAACTTGTTTACCACTTGTACTGAACAGATTTATTCAATCATTGATCATATTGTGTGTGGTACAGTAAATCTTTCATTTGCCGGCATTGTGTTATGTTAAAAAAAGCTTAGAAATTGATCAGTTAAAATTTAGGTTTCTTTCAAATTATTTTGGCCAACTTTTTGAGAAGGGTTGATAAATATATATCTATATATATATGTGTGTGCGTGCGTGTATGAGTATCTCTATATGGGGACATGTGTGCGTGTGTGTAATTTTGAACATTGCGAATGTTCTTGATCCGTTTCACTTCTCCTCAGACCTTCAGCACAGACCTGACGTTCAAGTCATACTGTGTGGCACATTTGTTCACTCACCAGTCATTTCAAGGAAACACTCTGGGCATGGCGTACATTGCATCAGACAGGAACGAGGACATTGGCGGCATATGCTCTCCAGGTAACACGCGAACTAAGACACACTTGTAGAGCTAACTTAGACGTACGTTGTGGCGTTGATAGTCAAGTGGTTTATGCTACCGGACTCGTAATCATGAGGTTGTGAGTTTATGGGGTTCGAGCCTCATGCTGGATGTTGTGTCCTTGGGAAAGGCTTCGTACACAAATTCTCCTCTCCTCACTCAGGTGCGAATGGGTACCCCGCCATAGACAACGAAAGATCTTCCCAGTATGTTAATGTTTTAGCGCTTATAAATGACAGCTTGCACTGTATGTTTCGTAGGAAATTAAGATTGTTTCAGAATGCTATCAGGTCAGCTAAGGTAATAGTATAGATTGCAAAGAGCATAGAGCTTGCTGCTGAGAAGGAATTTGCACTATACAAATGCCATCTATTATTATTATTATTATTATTACTATACTTGTAGAGCGAACTGAGACATACTTTTAGAAAGCAACATGATAAAGGTCATATCAGGGATATGGATGTAGTTAGGAATCTGCATAGTTAACAAAAAACAAAATTTACAGGGAACACTAAACATTTTAACCATCTTGTGACTGAAAAGTTTTTTCAAGACAGGACAGGGTTGTATCAACAACCCATAATGAAAGGGTTAAGAGCTATTTAGGGTAACTGTACAAGTTTTCAAATTTCAAATTAATTTTTTAAGTAAATACACAAGTATCATATATCATGTGAAAGAAAATTGGATAAGCTGTCTGACAGGTTTTTAAATAGTTTAAAAATTGCCAAAGGTCAGAAAAGGGATAAATTAACAGTACAAAAGGGGAAACAGTGAACCTGAACTTGACACCAAACTGACAGATTTAAAAAAACTTACTTCTCTATAATTTCCATTTCCCCTTGATTGTCAGGATTGGCCCTGTCTGTCAGGGCCAGTCTTGGCTGAGTGGGATACAACATCTCAACAGAAAGACTGAAATACTCTATAACATTTCCCCTCTCATGAGAATCAAATTCGGGTCTTCTGTGTGCGATGGCAAAGTGCCTAACCATTACCTTACAGAAATTGGCGTTTAGTGTTTTGTAAAATGACACACGTTTTTATTTATGCATCAGTCTGTGAAATACGTGCTTGTAGTGAATAAGAGGGATACAGTGATGGGATGAGAGAGACAGTTGCAAGAAGAGAGAGGATTGGGGAAAAGGAGGTTTGAAGGGAGGGATGGGGAGATGGAGGGGTTGCTTACATTTCTCACATTTTACCATAGAACAAGAATTGTGTCCATTTTTAGTTATCAAGCATTTTGAGCTCTCTCTTTGTAAAAATACACTGTGTTATTACAACATGTTACAGATATTTTCCCTGTGTTTCTCAATGTTTCATTTTTCTCCACTGTTCATAGAGTCTTACATCAGATCGCTGCAAGCTCGCGCCAGTGAAAACACAGGATTCACAAGCACACGAAATGGTTACGGAGAAACAGTGCTGCTTCAGCAATCAGACCTGGTCACTGCTCATGGTAAGTAGCCAAGACAACATAGTAGTTGTTTATAACTGGTCTCAGGACTCATTAACAACCTGCAGGAGGTTTGACCTCTAATTTCCCATTTCTTTGCACTTTTGTCATTTACCTGTTTATGCTTGTTCCAATTTAGGAATGGTCTTGATTGAGAGATAACATTTTAGCCTTTTGTTTAGTGTCAATTTATGGCAAACTTCCTGTAGCAGTTCTGTACTTGAAAGATGAACTCTTTAAATCTTACTGGAAAGTTAACTTTGTTGAGACTAAATGTGGCGGATATATGATTAAAGTTGGACAGCAATAGTTTGCTACTTCAATCCTAGTCTATTCCTTGCATTGTTGTTAATTTTTTTGTGTGTTGACTTGCTGAACGCTACCCTTAACAATTATAACCATGAAGACTGTCTGTTTATCCGGTTAAAAAACCCAAAAATAATTACTTTGGTTATACGTATCACCACAAGAAAATAATTATGGGCTCGAAGACCACTAGACAATATATCTCTGTGAATTGTCAACTGTAAGAATTTTTATGTCTGAGGTTGAATTGATTTGAAAATTTTCTTGATCGATTGTTGTCATGTTTTTTTCCCCATCAATCCATTCTGCGCTGACTATATTGGTGTCTCTTTTGTCTTCTTTTGCTGTGGATTATAGAACTGGGTAAGTAAAACGATTTTGGTTTAGTATAGATTTTTTTAATAGCTAAACGTTAATGCTACTTCTCTTGTAGATCCTGAATTTAAGTGTTGCAATGTATAGCAGTGTCCTTATATTCAGATTTCTTGTGTCTATTTACAAATGAGAAGATCACTGTATATTTTATGGGAATTATTTTCCATCCTGGACCACTCTTGCTGAGAGTATCAAGGGTTTTCATTGCCGTCTTCAGGTCTGTCTTTGTCATTTTACCTACCATATGTACTCACCGATAATACAAGTGATTTGAAAAACAAAAAAATGTGAGTTTCAAAAATGTGTGCTGCATATAATACATGCGACGTACAACCAGGATCAGGAACTACAGAGGTGAAATAATGGTGTATAGGATTTCCCATAGTACAGTTAACAATATTCTGAACATTTGGCAGCTGATGGATGGTTTTCCATCTACTAATTTGGCATTTCAACACATTGGGGCCAGAAAAAAGAAGGAGAGAAAAGGGCCTGAGGCTGACTTTAAGCCGACAAGTACTTAATTTCCCACATGTTGAGCCTCTTCTAGCATGTCAGAAATTAACCCTGTTTTATAGCGTGACTCAATAAGATAACATAAGAAAAGATAATACTTTATTGTTCGAGAGGGCAATTTTTCTGTGGCTATACAGGACATGCAAAAACATAGAGAGAAATACAAAGATTTTACATTATTATATTACTTCATTAAAAATTCAATATGAAAAGAAAATTAGAGCTGACATCGATTCTCAGGTCTTAAAAGTTAAGTTGATAAATTTGAATAATATATTGTGTGCAGAAATAAAAAATACACATTAATATTTATCTTAACAACAGCACCCTTATTATAGATGTTATGAAACTTCTGTTGTGTCTTTCTTCATTTTATTGGTTCTTAGAGGTATGTATCTGCCACTGTGCCACATTAAATTGGGTGAAAAGAAGGTGTTTAAAATGCTGTAAATCTTTTTTAGATTTGTGATTTGATAAAGGTTCATCAGTTTTGTTAAAATCATCTCTTCATACGTACCGCCAGTATTATACACAAGGCTGTGCTATGACTGAGTATGTATGGTACACTTATCTTGATTTTTTCATATAAGCAGGATTTGACAACACGTAGCATCAGATGTAGAAGGGTACTGTACTACTATGAGTGGTGTCGGTGGCTTAGTTGTTAGGCTCTCAGACTCGCAAAAATATGTTCATGGGTTCAAAGCTGTGCTGTGAACACAACCAATTTGTGTTGTTTGCACTCCTTTGACCTAACTTGTGCAGTTGTGAGTACTGTAAAACTTTTTCTATACTGAAAAGATATGGGACTCTGAGACAAAGGAGCTTGTATTTCAGCATTTGCTTACTTCTGTTGTGCTGAATAGACATTGTAATGGCGCTCATGTGACCTTATGCAGTTGCGAGTGCCATAAAACCTCTACTAAAACTAAAGACATTGTAGGTGTTTATCCCTTATGTATACTCTAAGCATTGTACAAGTTTTTCTGTCTATTCACACAGGTCACAACTGGGGCTCAAACCATGACCCTTCCTCTGGTAGCTGCTCCCCCTCTGATATCTTTGGGAATGGAAAATACATCATGTATGCGATTTCTGTCAGTGGCTACGACTCCAACAATTTTGTAAGTAATGTGGCTGTGAAATTGCACTTCGCAGTCTACAACTGCACTCTAAGAATTTAGTCCATGTTTGGCATTAAACAGTCATTCATCAAGTCTATGTAGAACTTGATATCTTGCTTTTCTAACAACTTTTTGTAGTGTGGGGTTATTCTTACCTTTTTTTGTTGACGGTTTCCTTTTTTTTTAAATCTGAGTGATTTCCACCATGAGGATTTAAAGTTTAGCCTTACTTCCTTACAAAAGTAGAGATGGTGAAATGATAATTTATAATTTTTATCCCCTTTAGTAAAAGACACCCTGACTTCATTAAAACATCTTACTCTCATGGCTGACCAAGAGTGTAGCAATGTGGAAGATACTCAAATGCTATCATTACCGGTACTTCTTTTTGTCCATTGTGATTGTCTTGTATCCACTTCCAATGGTGTGAACTAATGGAAGTTGGTAAAGTACCATTCTAGAGGGTGCAACTTCCAACATGGAGAAGTCGTGAATCAATTCCACTCTTATGATTTTTAGGGTCTTTTGTCTTTACCGTGAGATGAGGACAATTGGAAAGCCTAAAAGACTTGAAAGCCCTTTTTTTTAACAATTTTGTGTGCTTTTTTTCTGGGTTTTCACAGCTCTTCTCTACATGCAGTCGCAATGCCATCGGCCGTGTACTGTTGACTAAAGGTCAAGGTTGCTTCACAGGTATGTGCTATTTACTGCAAATTTTGAGAAAATATTATCAGTCTTTTTAGAGTAGAGGGGCCTGAGGAGCTGAGGACTTCATTGTTACTTGGGCCAGAGGAAAATGTAATGGCTGGGTGCTGCAAGGGTTACAATCTCAGAATAATTGGATTTGCCTTTTGTGTTTTTGCTTTGGAATGTATTTCAGGAATATATGTGAGGCATTGTAGTGAAATCAGACACTCGTCAAAATGATGAAATTGAAGAAACTGGCATTTTTCTGCCCAATTGGCAATTTATATTGAATTTTTATTTGTTGGCTCAAGGCCTTTAAGATCCATTTAAAAACGCATTTCTGTGTGGATTTTACTGGAAAAACGTTGATTTAAGGTACAAAAAATGTAAATTTGCTGTTTCCAAGGACTTTCATGCTTTGGAAGTCGCGCAACTTTGGCGGCCATTATCTCACTAATTTTACCCCTGAAAACAGCTGGCCACCACCTCCTTCAATGGCAAATATTGCGATTTCTACTCATAATAGATTAGTGATTAGTATTTTTTTTTTTTTTAAGACAAATGAACAAACTTTAAGATGATACCAGCAGCTCCACATGCCCAAAAATTGACGAGTGCCTGATTCCACCATATCGTGATACATACGATTTTTTAACAGTGATCTGTTACAATGCCCCATTCAGAAGTTTAAGTGATATTTGTGGATGAAGAAGGATTGATCAGGTTAACTTGTTACAATTCTTGAAATTATTTTTCCATCATGTTACTGATTGGGGTCGAGGTTTCTTTCAGAAAAAAGATTTTGTCCTTAGAGCTTGCTACCTCTCCAATGATCAGAATGATGCACATACTTCAGTGTCCTGTGTCTTGTTTACTTTAGAATGCTATACCTGCTTTTTTCCCTTTTTCCTCCTCATTTCCTTCTTCCCTCCTTGCTCTCTCCTTTTTTTCTTCATTTTTCTTTCTTGTTTCCTTCTTCCTATCCTCCTACCTCCTTTATTTCTTCCTTCCTCCCTCCTTTCTGTTTTCTCTCTTTCTTCTTACGTTTTGCCTTCATTTTTCTTTCTTCTCTCTATTCCTCTCCCTTCTGACATCCTTGTACCACCTCTTTTCTTCCCTCCCTTTTCCTTCCTTTCTCCTTCCTTCCTTGTTCCTTTTTTTTTTTTTTTAAATTGATTTTTACCTCTGAGAGCTCTATCTTAAAAATGACCCAATAGAGTCCACAAGGGCTTTCTACTCCCTCAAAAAAGTTGTAAAAAGTGCAACCAATAGCAGTTATTGAAACATGCATGATGTGATAACAGGCTTCATCATTTCATTCTGTTTCTTTTCTCAGCTCGAGCCACTGATGAGAGTTTGATCTGTGGGAACGGAAAAATTGACTCCGGGGAGGAGTGTGATGCTGGCTTCCTGGGAAGACTTAACCTTGATCCTTGTTGCAACAATGACTGTACCCTGACACGTACATCTACCTGCAGGTATTCTTAATAATGTCCAATCCATGATTATATAACCTCATAGTCACTTAAACTTCATCTGCTGTGTAATGTATAGACTCTTTGTTGTTGCACACTTAGGATGTGAGGTCGATTCCCAAGTGGGAAAGGATGGGGGGGGTTTTGTGGGGGGGGTTTTTGGTGGGAATACCTCCATCTGTCAGCTGAAATGATGAATCCCACAGATCTATCGGTTAAGGTTTACCATGGCAGGCAACCCTGCCTCCTAAATAATCTAAATCACAGAGCCATATTGCATGTCTGTCAGCTTTCGAGGCTGCCCGGGATAAGGATGAAGCTGAGAAAAGGAACAGACGGAGATACTCACCCCCCCCCCAAAAAAAAACAACAACAACCCAACAACAACAACGAACTTTTCATATCAGGAATCAAACTTGTGCCCTCTGTGTGCAGTAGTGAACTGCCTGACTTGTACAACAAATTCTAGTGCTGAGTCTGTCTTAGCTCCCTTCTTATTTCCCAGCCTTCTGCAGGTTTGATCATGTGTTTGAAGTACCGGTACACACATGTGGTCATGTGAACTGGTCTATACATGATTTGCAATGGAACGAAAAAAGAATTCCAACTATGACAGGTTTTTTACCTTTAAGCAGATGTCTGTCTTGCTGGTTTGATTGTATTTAATATGTGTGTTGATATTTTTTAAAATGAACACTGACAGTGCTTAGTTTTGTTTTGTTTTTTTAATTATACTTTTGATATTTGTAAGTTGCAGATTGAAAATTTTTGTATTCTTTAGAATTGAATTCTTAATTAATTTGAATATTTTGATTTTCAAGGACATAGAAGAAAAAGAAGAAGCAGAAAAAAGAAGTAGAAGAGGAAGAAGAAGAAAGCAAACGGATGTAAATTGAGTTGATTTTTTTTCTCTCTGTACAGCCCAGGCAATCATGAATGCTGTGTCAACTGTCAGCTTGCCAGCCAGGGATTGCTCTGCCGTGCAGATTCCGGCATTGACTGCCAGAAGTCGGCCTACTGCACATATCCTTTTAAGGTTTTCAATATGGCTCTGTACTGTGTGGTTCATTTCCTTATTGGTTACAGTGTTAAAAATGAGAGAAAAATAACTTTGCTCCCTTACTGTTTTCGTGGGGAAGACAGTATTTCTTTATCGTAAGAAAGAACAATTTGGTCTCTTCTACCAACGGAAGGAGCTTGAGCTCTTTCAGGCAAGCAAACTTCAGAACTTCTGCCTACTTTTGAGGGTATAAATTGCTGAAGGGGGAATGATTGGTGGATGCCCTGGTGTGCTTTTCTCCTTCTTTCCTATCAAACATTTATCGTCCTATTCTCTCTTCCTTTTCTTTGTATGCTACTCTCTAGTAACATCTCCATTTCTCGGCACTTATGTGACTAATTTGTATTGAAAGTGCAGTAAAACTCTTATTAAGATAAATTGCTGACTAAGTTGATGAAAGTCTTGCACGAGGCCACTTTCAGAGTAGATCTGTAAAATGCAGTATTTATGGGAATCTAGGCTTAGTTTGGTTCTCTCTATCTCTTTTACCCTGGTATTGGGTATAGACTGTCAAAAAGGGCTCTCTACCATGTCTTTGTTCCGGGCTACCCGCTGATATTGTGTGGGTGGTTGGAGGGTGCTCTGCTTTGGTTTGCTCCTTCTTTCCTGTCATACATGTATATCAGTTCTATATCTCCTCCTTTTCTTTGTATGTTACTCTCTAGTAACACTTCTAATATTTGACACTTATAAGACCTATTTGTGTGAGTGGTTGGAGGGTGCTCTGGTTTGGTTTGCTCTTTCTTTCCTGTCAAACATCTATCATTCCTTTATCCTCTTTTCTTTGTATGTTACCCTCTAGTAACACGCCTAATATTTGGCACTTATATGACCTATTTATTGTGTTGCAAGTGCGGTAAAACTCTTAACAACAAAACTAAATGATAATGTCTACCTTAACCTTTGTCACTGGCTCCAGCCTGGTGTGTCCTGCTTCAGAGGACAAAGACGACGGAGATGAGTGTTTGGATGAGTAAGTTCACTTAATTGGCTTTTTGCACTATATAATGCTTCCGGAGAAACCAAGAATGAATCTGAGTGTTTTAGGGTCTGCTCTGTGCTCGGGCAATAATAGTTGTAAAGTGCTAAGAGCATGTTATTATTATTATTATTATTATTATTATTATTATTTAGTTACTTGAATTTTCATCGCTGTTCACAAAATATGCCTCCAGTGTCTGTGGTGTAGCAGTAAGGTGCTTTGCTGTCACATGCAGAAGACCTGCATTTGATTTCCATTTGGGGAGAAATTTATAAGGTGTATCTGTCTTTCTACTGGGATGTTGTATCCCTCTCAGCCAGGGTTGGCTCTGACAGGTAGAGTCAAAATCTGCTACCTAAATTATTTAGATTGTGTTGATGATAATGAAACAACAACAAAAAGACATGTTTGATTATGATCACATAAAATCGGTTTATCCTTTGAGCTTCATGCTGCTTTGTTTTCTAAACTGTCAGGAACCTTCTTACACTGACATTAGCATGTGATATTTTTATGAGTTGAAAGCCATGAGTATGAGATAAAAGCCTTGTTGTGACTTTTTTTGTTTGTGCTGATTTCCTTTGATAGAGATGATAGACTGTTGGGGTCTGTTTGTCACTGTTGTGCATTTCCTGTTTAGAATAATAAATAGGATATAAGTTAAAGTGATAACTTTATGTTCCTCCGGGGAAAATCTTTCTCACAGTTGCTAAAACCGACAATTCTATAAAAGTACACTTGTAACATGAATAGTGCGGACTAGATGTACTTATTAAAGAAGTGCCTTTCCCTGTCCACCCTTCTTTCTTCTCTTCTTCCCCTCTCTCTGAATCCCTCTCTCACACACTCTCTTTCCCTCTCTTTCTATTTCTCTCTCTCTCTCTTTCTCTCAGATAAGCTTATACACACACAAACACACACACACACACACACACACACACTCAAAGTAAGAAAGTTTCTCCAGCTTTCTCTAAAAAGTTGAAAAGTATGTATTTTAACAAATGATAGTACATTCTGTTACTTTGTTTACATGAAAACAGTGAGCAGAAAGTGGTAAGATAAATGGAATAATTAGATAAACTTGCAGTCTGTTTCTGAAGGACATAATGAATTCCTTAAAAAGTACAGTCTATCATTCACATCGCGAAATTGGAAGAACACAAGGAGATGTTTCTTTATGTTACCAAGTCCTCCAATCACATTCTTGGCTGTTAAATGTGCATGCTACTCTGTATCTAATTTTGTTTCCATTATGCTTGTTCTCTTCTCCAGGGGCAAGTGCGAAGCCGGCGAGTGCCTTCCGTTTTGTCAGGCTAGGAATCTCACCTCTTGTGCTTGTTCTGATTGTAAGTTTTTTTGTTTTTTTTTATAAGTGTTTTATAGGGCTTGCAACTGCATAAGGTCATATGAGCGTGCGGGAACCATTAAGCATTTTCAGTTCGGTAGGAATTGATTTGGAATTTTTTTGCTCTTGTGGCAGCCGAAGCCCACTCTTGTGTCACTTTTAGGACCTTAAAGGAATCTTTAACGTGTGCAGCTTGCACACAGGACCTCTGAGATTTTTTCGCCCTTCTCCAAGAAGGCTAATTGTTAGATTTTACCTACCTTAAGATCAGGGGTGTAGCTGAAAGACAGCAGTCAGAGGGAGCCAGGGAGTAGCAGTAGAAAGGCAGCAGAAAGAGTCAGGAGCCCAGAGGAGGCAAGGGTTGAATGGGGGCAGGAAAAGACGAAAACTGATGACAGAGCATGGTTATAGAGCTGGAAAGTAGGAGAAAGGAGAACATTTCTGAGTAGAAAATGTTCCTTTTGCTGTAAGTTTTCAAATGCAGGACCTATTGAATGAGAGGCGAACTCCGTACCTCTAGACCACAAAAGCCTCCATGTGTAAGTTTAGTTCAAAATGAAGGAATTACAGTCAAACCTCATTGTACCGCCAACTTTGGGATGAGCATGATGAAGTTGGTGGTATAGTGGGGCTTGTGGTTCATTGAGAGTTGAATGCCTACCTTCTGTAAAAAGCATGACTACCCAATTTCAAGGGAAATGATTCTGCTGTGTGTTCTGTGTTTGAAAAGTGTCTTTTTGTTGGTGATGAACTCTTCTTCTTCTTCTTCTTCTTCTTCTTCTTCTTCTTCTTCTTCTTCTTCTTC